AAAAAAAGTAGCGCTGAGCCATGGCGTGGCACGACTCCTGTAGTTCCTAGACCCTGCTCAGGAGGCGAGGTAGCGCGGATTGCTTGAGCCCAGAGTTCAAGGCTGTAGTGAGCTATGACCCTCGAACCAGTGGACTCAAGCTCTGGGCCAGCACAGCAAGACCCCATCTCTGTAACAAAAAAAACTAAATACTCCGTAGTGGGCATACATTAGAAAATCAATACACTGACATTGAGCTAACACACTGAATTGCTGGGGATATGGGTGTGAAACAGCACTGCCATACGTCAGTGGATAGTATTCGTGTCTATATTAACACTACCATCCAGAAGCCCAGTTTGTCAATATCTAATCAGATTGTTCACACTCTTCTTGACTCATCAAATCTACTTCGAAGAGATGCTATGGGTACAGACGTATAATCACCTACTCACCCAAGGGATACTACTGTGCGTTGCAGCTCAAGGTGCAATCATCACTCTACATGATTCTTTCAAGCAATTCTCGTGCCTCAGCCTCCCAAGTAGCTGGGACTACAGGTGTGCACCACCACACCCAGCTAATTTTTTTGTATTTTTAGTAGAGATGGGGTTTCACCATGTTGGCCAGGCTGGTCTCAAACCCCTGGCTCAAGCAATCTACTTGCCTCAGCCTTCCAAAGTGCTGGGATTATAGGCATGAGCCACCGTGCCTGGTCTCCAGGTCTGTTTAAATGTCATTTCTTCCTAAAGCTTTCCTCGCTAATTCGATTCTTCTTCTCAAATGTGTTTTGGGGGTGGAAGGTCTGAGAAGAGGAAACTTCTAATAGAGATGCATCACCAGTGCCCTTCTCCCAGGTCCAAGGTCATACCCCTTGCTTGAGGGGAGGCAACTTCCAATGCCTGATCCATGCTGGGGTATCAAGTTCCAGCCCTCTCACCCCAGTTTGGAACAATTCTGTAGGATTGTCTCAATGGCAGAGCTTGCTGAGGGAGTAAGCTGAGGCCTTTGTAGGCCACGAGTTTGAGACCAGCCTGAGCAACAAAGTGAGACCTTGTTTCTATGCAAACATTGTTTTAAAAACTGAAACTTCCCACATGACAATTTTTTTTTTTTTTTTTGAGATGGAGTCTCACTCTGTCACCCAGGTTGGAGTGCAGTGGCACAATCTCAGCTCACTGCCACCTCTGCCTCGCAGGTTCAAGTGATTCTCATCTCAGCATCTCGAGTAACTGAGATTACAACTGCCCGCCACCACACCTGGCTAATTTTTATATATTTTAGTAGAGACAGGGTCTCACCATGTTGACCAGGCTGGTCTTGAACTCCTGACTTAAAGTGATTTGCTCACCTGTGCCTCCCAAAGTGCTGGGATTACAGTCATGAGCCACAGAGCCCGGCTTCCCCATGACAATTTTAAACATGAGAACTATGTACATGCCACAGTCTGGAACTTGGGATCTCAAATAATCTTAGATTTCTTGTTCTTAGTCCCCATATAGAAGGGAGGAGGGCTGGCCTTTGGACTCCCCCAGATCTGGGTTGGAATCCCAGCTCCACCACTGCAAGTCTGGTTGCTCTAGGCCAGCTATTTAATGTTCTCTAAACATCAGTTTCATCTGTACAATAAACTACCTTGTAGGACTTCATTCAGTCCTTCTTCAAATATTTGTAGAATATTTGCAGGCTGAGGCCTTTGCTGAGACTACGTGGAAGCCCAGCTTCCTCCTCCCTTTCCCCCACTTCTTAGGCTTTGATCCAGCCCAAGAGCCTTGATCGAATTGATCTCTCTTTCAGTCTTCCAGGGAGCCTGTGACTCAATCCTAGAAACCAATGGCAGGTCCAGGCTGCCTGTGGTCTACTTGCTCCACTTCCTCAGGCGCTCGAGGGTGACTCATCAGTCAGTAATTTCAGAGCAGAGGGCGTTCCCCTCAGTGTGTGCCAGGAGCACAGCAGGAGTGTAGGCACCCTGGGAGCTCCCCGGAATTCCCCGACCCTGGAACACGCTGTGGCATTGCGTGGCTGAGGCTCTGTTTCACATTGGGTGCCCACCCTGGACTGCTTTACAGGACAGACACCTTGTTATCCCGCTCTGCTCTGGTAGAACAAATATTTGCGGAAGGACTGAATGAAGTCCTGCAAGGTAGCTCATCTCACAGATGAAACTGATGTTGAGAGAACATTAAATAACTGGTCTAGAGCAACCAGACTTAAAGTGGTGGAACTGGGATTCAAACCCAGACTTGGGGGAGTCCAAAGGCCAGCCCTCCTCCCTTCTATATGGGGACAGAGAACATGGAATCCATGACCATTTGAGATCCCAAGTTCCAGACTGTGGCATGTACATAACTTTCATGATTAAAATTGTCACGTGAGAAGTTTCATTAAAAAAAAATTTTTTTTGTAGAGACAAGGTCTCACTATGTTGCCCAGGCTGGTCTCAAACTCCTGACCTCAAGCGATCCTCCTGCCTTAGCCTACCAAATTGTTGGCATTGTAGGTGTGAACCAAATTCAAAGTGGACTTTTGTCTTTAATTGAGATGGGGTCTTGCTATGTTGCCCAGACTGGTCTTAAACTCCTCAGCTCAAGCGGTCCTCCTGCTTTGGTCTCCCAAAGTGCTGGAATTATAGGCATGAGCCACTGCACCTGACCTCAAAGTAGAACGTTTTTGGCGGCAGGAAGGTGCTGGATACTACTCTCAGTCCTTTAGAGGAAGTAAAATAAATCCTCCGAGTACAATGACATTCTCAGGTCACTTTCAGAGGGATGAGCAATAAATTCATTCAATGCCTTCTTTACTAAAAGCATTAGAGATTAACAAATTCTTGAAGTAAAACTTGCTGAAATGCATTTTGTCAGGGGAACGCAGTTGGACAAAAACTACAGGTTGAGTTCAGAAAAGGTAAATGTCTTTTACCACGATTTAGTCATTTTCTTCCTGGTAGATATGGCTTTTCTCAGGATCTGGAGAGAGAGGCTGTTGAAGAATAAGGGTTGGGAAAAGCCACAGATGGAATATTACAAATTGGAGACAGCTACTTAATAGAAACGGCATCTCCTCATCAGACAAGTCAAGGCAACTGTTGAAAATATGACATGCCTCTCTATCAGCCATTCATGGCCCAGGACACTATGGCAACCAAATGCAAACTGCTGGTTCAAAGAGATTAGTCTGAATCCCAAAAGAATCCTAATTCTCTCTTGATTTATTAAGGAAGAAAACAACAACTGCCTTTATTTGCAATATTATTGCTTTGCATGCAATCCTAGGAAAAGGTGTGGCTGTTATTTTTGAAGAAGTACTCACCCTATACTAGACACAGTATG